CCATATAAGAGTGTTGGTACTACTATACTTTCATACATTCCCTTCTTTGCCTCCATAGATAACGTTTTTTGACTCCACATATACCTCAATGCACCACTCACCTTTTTTCCCTCATCAATTCTATGATTAACCTCATCCTTCGTAAATCCATCCACCGACACGTCAACTCCCAAGTATCTGAAAACATTCACTTCTTCCATACTCCTCCTCCCCAATTTGATATCCAATTTTTCTTTATCTAAATCATTTGATACCCTCATCACCTTACTCTTTTCTATGTTCACGTTCAACTTTCTACCTTTACACACATTTATTGAAGGCTAATGCTGGCTTCTGGAAGATAAGGAGGAGGAAAGAGGGAGGAGATAGTATTTGGAAGAGAATTCCCCCTCCATAAAGACTTCAGGTAGCAAAGCCTTCTCTGGGGTTACTTCGCTTCTTTGTCTTTTAATGCCACTAGGACCAGCTTGAGAGTCACTGGACCCCTGTCACACAAAATAACTGTCAAGAGTGCTCTGTTTCTGGCGTCTCTTTAAGATTTTCCTGAAGTGGGACAGGATTTTGTCATTGAACATGTTGCAGATATGGCTTGTTTCAGCTTTGTCAGGGTGGTGTTTTTCTACAAAAGTTTGCACCTTAGTCCACATTGCACACACCTCTTTAATCTCTGAAGAAGGCATCTCCTTCACTCTCTCTGCCTCCTCCTCTGAAACAAGTTCCTCAGCTGCAATCTGCTGATGTTCGAGTTGAAGCTCTTACAGCTCTTCAGTGGTTAGCTTTTCCCTGTGGTCCTCCACCAACTCTTCCACATCCTCACCACTCACCTCCAAGCCCAGGGACTTCCCCAGTGCCACAATAGAGTCCACAAGGTTTGCAGGGTCAGGGTCAGGGTCAACCTCAAACCCTTCAAAATCTCTCTCTTGGACACAACCTGGCCACAATTTTCTCCAAGCAGAGTTCAAAGTCCTGGAAGTCACTCCTTCCCAAGCCTTACCTATAAAGCTTGTGCAATTGAGGATAGTGAAGTGATCTTTCCAGAACTCTCTTAGGGTCAACTGAATGTCAGAGGTCACCTCAAACACTGCTTTTGTGTTGAGTTTTTTGAAGTTAGAAATGACTTGCTGGCCCATGGGCTGGAGGAGAGGAGTGGGGTTAGGAGGCAAGAACTTCACTTTTATGAAATTGAAGTCACTAAATACTTGGTCTTGCAAGTCTGGAGGGTGTGCAGGAGCATTGTCCAGTACCAGGAGGCACTTGAGTAGCAATTTCTTTTCCAGGAGGTATTTTTTCACACTTGAGCCAAACACATCATTAACCCACTCTTTGAAAATTTGCCTTGTGACCCATGCCTTATTAGCTTTCCACATCACACACAATCTATTCCTAATGACACTGCTTTTCTTGAACACTCTGGGATTTTCTGAGTGATACACAAGTAAAAGCTTCACTTTAAAATCCCCACTAGCATTACCACACAACAAAAGAGTAAGCCTGTCTTTCATAGGCTTGTGTCCTGGCAGTGCCTTTTCCTCGTGCATGATATAGGTCCTGTTTGACATTTTCTTCCAAAACAGGCCTGTTTCGTCACAATTGAACACTTGGGGTTTTAATTGTTCAGCTGCTTTTTTTGTCAGAACTTGCAGCCTCTCCAAGCCTCACAACACTGTGTATGCCACTACACTTCTTAAATATCTCAAACCAGCCTTAGCTGGCCCTAAATTCACTACCAGCAGCACTTGTTCCAGGAGTTTTCTGTAGAAGATCCTCATGTAACTGCTTTGCCTTCTCACAAATAATAGATTCAACAATACTGTCTCCCACTAATTCTTTTTCCTTAATACACAATAACAACAAATTTTCCATCTGTTCCATTTTCGGTGACCTTTGTTTCATTATAAAAGTTACTCCTTTTGCAACATTAGCATTCTTGATTTGTTCTTTCTTTGCCAGGATGGATATTATAATCAATTTGTTTTTCCCATACATCCTGGCAAGTTCCAGCTCCCGCATACCCTTCTCGTATTTATCATCAACCACTTCACGCTTAAATTCCATGGTGTTTCTCATTTTGTTTACCACAGGAACTTTACTAAGAGCTTTTTTTGGAGCCTTGGTTACTTATTTTGCAGTTGCACTGCAAACAAACCACAAAAAACAATGGAAAACAAGCAAAATGTTTGGATGTATAAGCAAAAACTTCTTCACACACCAAAAGACACAGACAGACTTATGCGCAAGCGGCCCCAGCCGGCAGATGGACACGTCCAAAATGGCCGATCACTGAAATAACGGCCGATCACCAGGAGCCGAAAAACCAGCCGATAACCAAGTTGGCTGATAACAGGAATGGCCGATATCCGAGGGTCCACTGCAGTATAATTTTGACAAAAATATCACAGATGGATTAATGAAAATGTCTATGTTAACGTAAAATAAGACATTTAATGTGCCCAAGAGCGATTATTATTACATAGTATTATTATGGCATCAAGACTAGAGGGACACTCGTAGTGAACGAATAACAAAGGCATGTTTATATGCTATGTGCAAAACAACCACTGTGAAAAAATAGAGAAATTCCAAGCGCTTTCGCTATGTAACGTGTTTCTTGCATAATTTTGAAATATCATTGATGGATTAATGAAAATGTTTATATTAATGTAAAATAAGGCATTTAATGTGCCCAAGAGTGAGTCACGAACGTACGAGCGGCCCAGGTAGACGCATCTGGTACCGTTGATTTCTGAGCGGATGTACAAAACCTGGGGGAAAATTTCGCTGAAAAAAGTGCTCGAAATCCAAATTGTATGATTTCTGCACTAGCCGAAAACCAGGGGTTCACTATATAATCAAGCTCCTGATCAGCCATTACCGCATATTTACACCATCATATGAATGAGGGATACAGTACTATATTAATTAAAGAGAAAGGTATTAACCCTTTGAGGGTTTTCGTCGTACTAGTACGTCTTACGCGTAGGGGTTTTTGACGTACTAGTACTCATAAATTCTAGCGGCCTCAAATCTAGTGGGAGAAAGCTGGTAGGCCTTCATATGAAAGAATGGGTCTATGTGGTCAGTGTGCACAGTCTAAAAAAAATCCTGCAGCACACAGTGCATAATGAGAAAAAAAAAACTTTGACCATTTTTTTTGAATAAATCAGCGACTTTGCAGTGTATTTTCGTATGGTATTTATTGTTGTATTCTAATTTTCTTGGTCTCATTTTATAGAATGGAAGACATATTACAGAAATTGAGATGATTTTGACTGGTTTTACAAAGAAAGGTGCCTTGAAATTGAGCTCAAAGTAGCAGAAATGTTCGATTTTTACCAAACTTCAAAAGTAAACAAATCGTGCCAAGCGTGCAATACACGTCAACTGGTGAGTCTAATATTCTTTCACAAGTGCACCAATAATATTTATACCATTTTTTACACTAATGCAGTAGTCTGCATAACAGTAAATCTTATATTTTTTGTGAAAATAAAAATTCAAAGTGGAAAGCAAAAGAATATAAGAGGGGCCTTGAGACGTGACTAATGACTAGAGGAAATGTCATTTTAGTGCCAGGAATGTCTTTCTTGTTTATTCTGGACCCTATTCGGAAATTGGCATCTTTTGAAATTTGTGTGAAATTGGCAAAATTGCTAAATTCTGACCACTGTACTGGATAGTTGAATTTCATAAATGAGTGGTTTCTTGCACCCATTCGATAGGAAAAATGGAGTTCTAGCGAAATATTCATGTTTTTTGTCGACTAGTACAGTGAAATTGGCCGAAAATGGGGCTCAAAGTGGGCAAAATCGCCGATGCGTAAACATCGCCGAGACCGCTAACTTTGCGAGAGCATAATTCCGTAAGTTTTCTATAAAATTTCAAACTTTTGGTGTCTTTATGATCGGGAAAAGATTCTCTATCTTTTCATAAGAGAAAATAATTTTTTTTTTTTTTTAAATTTGGCCGACCCTGAGAACGAGTTTTGGAGAGGGCCTGTCGACCCTCAAAGGGTTAAAGAAACAAGATATACAATATTAAAGTAAAAAAGAGATAAGAAAAAGAAATAGATAGAGATATGAGAGATATAGAGTAAGTCAAATTGGGTAGCTTGGTTATCTGTCACCAGATAACCAAGCTACTGAAGGTTTCTAAGTATGAGTTACTACATGATTTTCTTGGCATTATTCTGTTGTAAGATAAACTTGAATGCTAAATTATATTCTTCTCTCAGCAGTGGTTTTAGAGATATACATTTTTCCTTATTTTTTGAAGCTCATCTTCATACTCCTTGCATGTTTATGCATGAAACAAAGGTTCATCTTATACAACCCAGTCCTCAGTATATATCATGCAAGATTTTTAAGAGATATCTAAAAGTGTTGAATGATGGTGAAAGTGTTTCTTTCATTTTTGGGTCACCCTGCCTCAGTGGGAGATGCCCAGCATGTTGAAAAAAAGAATAATCTAAAGGTAACATGAATCAAATATTAAAATTCACATCCCTTGTACCCAGGAAAAGAATGATATTAATAAGTCATCCTTCACATTTAGTTTGTCACCTCAGTTTTTTTTTTATGTGTGCAGAAATGATTGACAAATGTAATGATATTATAACTTTTCTGATTTTTATTTTTTTTACATTAAATATTGACAGACACCTCTTAAATCTCTTGTGTCCTCAGAAAGTTTGATTTGATGTGTTTGTGCTGCTGCTGTATGGTCTAAAAGTTTTCAGAGAATTTCACATCTATTTTTCACATTCTTCAGTAAAAGTATCTTCACACTTGTTGAAAATTTAACTCAACATAAATCTTTTATTTCTTTTATAGACTTAAAATGCAGAAATAGATGCTACTCACTGAATTATAGTATACAGAAAAAATTTGTATCATGCATTGGTATATTTTGTGTTATAAAATAGAAGAATGAAAGTTTTTAACCCAGTTAGTATATGGCAAATTATTGTACAGTATTATTAATTTATCAACTTAAATTTACAGAAACAACTACTGCGATAACCACATTGATCCCTGTCTTCTTCACACCACCTCCAGTATGTGATCCAGATCAGTAAGTGTACCAGCAGTTCTCTACTTTTATTGACCTCTTTCACTGACTGTATAGATCTTGAGTTATGATGAGTATAGTAAAAACAGTAACTTGATATGTTCATCAAAGTTCACAAGACTGAAGGCAGAACCAGTCACAACCATCTCACAAACTGGAGGGGAACTAGAAAATATTTTAGTCAGTTTTGTCATCTAATTTCATTTCTAGTTTGTTCTGTAGGTGTGAATAGATATGGTTCACTGTCAAAGTAATGTTTGAATATACATACTGTGTAATGGATAACATTACAGTAATTCCTTGTTTTAGTATTGTTGAGACTCTTTATAACCACTCCCAGTCTGCATATATATGCTCTACATTATTTAAGATCTTAGAATGATATAGCAAGTAGTTACCAGGGCAGTAATTGTGGAGATGTGGTAATGCATGCCACACACTTTCCAGGACATACCATTTTTTTTTTTAATACACTGGCTGTCTCCCACTGGGATAGGGTGACCTAAAAAGAAACACTTTGACCATCATTCACTATCACTGTCTTGCCAGAGGCATGTAGATATGACAGTTCAGATGTCCTTTCTAACAACAAATATTGCAGACTCCTCCTGTAGAGTACAGGCACTGTACTTCTCACCTCCAGGACTCAAGTCCTGTACTGTATTCACTTGTACCAAATTATCTGTTATTATATTTGAATAATAACAGTAATAATAGTACAGTGACAATAATATTGTACTGTATGTACTATGTTCATCAAAGGATAGGTTTTCTGATGTTAGTAATTTCAATTGATCAGGTAGTTTTAGATTAATAAAAGAGATATTAAGTAATATTGGATAGAAAAATGAAAGTTTCTCTTTTAAAATTTTGTAATTTATACAGGAGAAGGGGTTACTAGCCCCTTGCTTCTGGTATTTTAGGTGCCTCTTACTACACACATGGCTTACGTAGGAAGAATTCTGTTCCACTACCCCATAGAGAAATTGATATCTAATATACATATATTTAATACACTAAAGTCCTTCTAGAGGTAAGTTAGGTTTAAGTTTGCCCAAAATGCTCTGCACAACTAATTGGATTTCCACTTTATTATTGTAAAGTCATCCAGTTTTGTACAAGCGATGTATTGTGTAGCAATGAATTTGATTGATTAAATAAGGAATCTTAGAAAGTATTTTGTATTGTATCTACTTTTGGCTTTGGGGATCATTGCTCTTGCAACCTAGTCTCAAACCAGGCCTACTAAATTGAAAAAAAAATATGGTATTACAAGAATAAAAAAAATTATTAAGAAACAGGAAAGTAAAGATGTGTGTATAATGAGACAGAAAGAAAAGTCCATCAGTCCTGAGAGTGTAAAATATTTAAGAGGTTTCTGTTGCACACTTAGAACAGTTGCTGTTTGCTAACCTACTATTTTTTTTGTATGTGTTTGATAAAGGCTTCACTGTTTAGTATTTTGACAATGTATAGGCCTTGAAATTTTGTCTTTTGAACTATATTTCTAAATGCTGTGTAATGTACCAAAGTAAGTTTTTACTCGATTAATTAAGAGTTTATTCATTGATACCCTACAAAGTATTATACTATTTTCAATTATAGGTATGTAAACTTACTTGAAAATGTGGAGGACAGTGCTTTCTCATCTACACCAGCTCGTAACTCTATATATGGACCTGCTAGTGCACGACTGTATCACAATGATGGTAGTTTTACAAGTAAGTAAATTTTGAACCTTTCCTGACTCTTCCATTTACACATAAGTCTTAAAGATATTAATTTTGATTATGGCTTTCAATATTTTTATATTTGGTTGAAAGACACTTGGTGCAGTGGAAACATTATATTATAGACTATTTTTTTGCTCACAAATAACTTGGTAAAGCTCACTGTGTAGGCAAAACATTGCCCATAATGAAGTTTTCCTCTTCACCAAGTGTCTTTCTATTACAGTAAACCCTTCATATAACAGACTAATAGAGGGGATGGTTCAGGTGTTCATTAAATTATTATTATATTAAAAAAATAGCAGTAAAATGCATTAAAGTATTTTATTGTATACCTAATATAGCAGTGTACACACAATTTACAGATATAATGCAATGCACATTGAAAAAAAGGAATTTAAAGTACAATTTATCCAGTGAATTCTGCTCATAATTGTTAAAGTCTGTTATATTGAGGGTTTATTGTATATTTGTCCATAATACCCACTATACTGTATTTCTATATGAGCAGGGTAATATTTTGTGAAGAGATTCAGGGAAACTAGTTAGCCAGACTTGAGTCCTGGAAATGGGAAGTACAATGCCTGCACTTTTAAGGAGGGGTTTGGGACATTGGCAGTTTGGAGGGACTTCTAAACTGTCGTATCTGAGTGCCTCTGCAAAGACAGTGATTATGTATGAGTGATGGTGAAAGTGTTTAATGATGATGAAAGTTTTTTCTTTCTTTTTGGGTTTTTCTTTCTTTTTGGGTCACCCTGCCTTGATGGGAAACAGCTGACATGTTAAAAAATAAATAAATAAATAAAGTTTATATACTATACTAAATCTTTATAGATTTTTAACCTATATGTAAGCTGTACAATATATAATTGATTGTTAATCTACACAGCAAGGAGCTGGGCATCATTGGTCAGTGACCAGGAGCAGTTTATCCAAGTTGACCTTGGTTCTGTGGTTCCTGTGTATGGTGTAGAAGTGGCAGGCAATCCACTCACCAGAGAGAGAGTAACGGCCTTCACTGTACAAATCTCTCGAGACAACAATGTATGGAGTGTGTTGCCAGCTGATCCTAAAAACTCAACAGGGTCCCCCAAGGTAACACTGCTCTTTTGTGATAACCTAATATTTTTCATCTCATAAAGACATGTACTTAATAAATAAGTATTGCTTGTTAATATCAGTTCCTTGTGTATTGATATTAGATTGATTACAGACCTCAGTCTACACACTTGAACAGTTTTATAAAATGGAGTCTGAGCATTGTATACAAAAAAATGATTAAGGTGGAACCTATAGTAAGCACAGCATTCTAGACAAAAATAACAGCCTGGTTGATCAGGCTCTGATCCACCACGAGGCCTGGTCACAGACCAAGCTGCAGGGCATTGATCCCCGAAACCCTCTCCAGGTATACCCCAGGTATAAGTTTCCAGTACTATTATGTATTAAGTAAAATTAATAAAAAAAGATTACATAACATGTATAGTTGTGTTATAGCAGTGTGGTGTGAATATGATGCAGAGAATTCATAGTTTGGAGATAAGGAGGTGTGAGGTTACTAAAAAGCATTATCCAGAGGGCTGAAAAGGGAATTATTGAAATAGTTTGTATATTTAAAAAGGATGGAGAAAAGTAGGATGACCTGGAGGGTGTATAAGTCTGTAGTGGAGGGAAGGAAAGGTAGGGGTCATCCTAGAAAAGGTTGGAGAGAGGGGGTAAAGGAGATTTTGTGTATGAGGGGCTAGGATACCCAAGGCATATGTGAGTATGTTAGATAGGTATGAGTGGAGGCAAGTAGCTTTTATGACTTCACATACTGTTGGAGTGTGAGCAAGGTATTATTTATGAGGGAATTCAAGGAAATCAGTTAGCCAGACTTGCATCCTGAAGGTGGGAAGAACAGCATTTACACTCTAAAGGAGGGGTAGAGATATTGAAGTTTGGAGGGGCATCTTAGCTCTAATGTTGGTGCATCTCTGGCAAGAAAGGATCAGAGTGAGTGATGGTGAAAGTGTTTCTTCTTTTTCCAATCACCCTACCTCAGTGGGAGATGGCCAGTGTTAAAAAAATTATTATTATTATTTTTACATTTTGATTGCCTTTACTTTTATTAGGCCATTTACTTACTGTACACTTAAGTTGCAATAGTATTCAGAACTGTAGTAATCGTTTGCATCATTTACTGTCAGTCCGTATTCTAAATGATGCCTTTCAGTTTATCAGATGAAACTCATCTAACTTGATTTATGTCTCCAAACATTCAAATTTCCAGTAGTAGCAGTTAATATAGAAGTGGCATGTTGATTTTTAGTTAGACAGTTTGTGGTATATACCACAAATGTTGTTTTTAAATAAAAGCCATATGAACTATATAAAGATGACTTGTAATGCAAATGATTTGGAAGATTATTGCAATTACTGATGTATTAAAGACTTTTCAAGAGTCACTTGAAATATTTCAGTTGTGTCTTCTGATGTGTGTATTACTTGATGGTAGTTGAAATATGTAGAGATGATGCATCAGATCACTAATTAAGAGATAGGGAGCCTGCACACAGAGCACAAAGTTTTGAATATACTGTACTGAAAGATAAATAAATTATTATCATCCTATAAATATAAACAGCAGCATACATGATAGACAATAATTAATTTTATATATTTTATATAGTTCTGTCTCCATGGGAAAGTGGAGAAGAATCCTTCCTCCGTTAGCCATGCACGTCATAAGAGGCAGCTATAATGCCAGGAACAAGGGGCTAGTAACCCCTTCTTCTGTTTAAATTACTAAATGTAAAAGTAATAAAAAACTTTTGTTTCTTCTATTTTGGGTCACCCTGCCTTGGTGGGAGAAGAAGGTCAGTGTGCTAAAAAAAATACATGTATATAGTTTTGTATACATATGTGTTAAGCACTGTATTCTGATAGGTCTTCCAAGGTCCACTGACTCCATCAACACCTGTGAAGCAGTTGTTTAATGAGCCTGTAGAAACCAGATATCTAAAATTGAAACCCACTGACTGGTATCGAGCCATCGCTCTGAGGCTTGAAGTTATTGGCTGTGATCACCCAACAGTCACCCCAAAAGTCACTGAAGTTGGTATGTATTCAAGATGTATATATTTTATTATAAACTATTGTTTAAAAATAAGAAATTTGTTGACTCTGTTTTATGTTTGATTGCTTTCTTGTAGTTACATGAGTAGAGCTTTCCTTGTAATGTTTTACCTTCTTTAGATAATTTATCTTACATTTTTTAAAATAATCTAGTGCTTGTGATGTAAATTTACAACAAAATTCTAGGGACTCCAAAATGGCCCTGCTTGGCCTGGTTAGGACTGCATCAGAGAAAATAGATCTGTTCCATTGGTGTGTTCATTATAAAAAAAACGTGTAGGGCGTTGTGGGAGCCAGAAATTGCATTTACATTTGTTTATTGGTATTGAACAATAAATATAAATGATATTTGAAACAAAAACATAGCTATACATATGTATAAAACATATCCATAAAAAATAATTAGGAAAATGGGGAAAAATCATAAAAACCTTAAAATATAGCAACTTCCTTCAAGTGGTAAGCACTGATGTTACCATAAAATGATCACCAGTGTCACCTTCAAGCCTTCGTGTCTGTCAGTGATAATTGAATTTTACTCATTCTTGTCTTGCTACACTTATTAAATAAAAATAATTTTTTGTTTTCAAAATTGACAGTACTGATGGCATGTTTATTATAGACCCTTCTGCAGTTTAAGGCCTAATGGTCATGAAGCCAGACCAGATGATTTCTTCTGTCGAGGCTTTTATGTTGCATTATTTATGTGGCTGCTTTACTATGGTTCCTAAATGACCAGCATCCTTGATATATGGACCAGCAAACAAACAACACAGCAACCTTCAAGATAAAATCAAGGGTTTAGATGACCTTCATGATGCAATGATGGTTTAGTGACCTTCATGATGCAATGATGGTTTAGTGACCTTCATGATGCAATGATGGTTTAGTGACCTTCATGATGCAATGATGGTTTAGTGACCTTCATGATGCAATGATGGTTTAGTGACCTTCATTATGCAATGATGGTTTAGTGACCTTCATGATGCAATGATGGTTTAGTGACCTTCATTATGCAATGATGGTTTAGTGACCTTCATGATGCAATGATGGTTTAGTGACCTTCATGATGCAATGATGGTTTAGTGACCTTCATGATGCAATGATGGTTTAGCAATGATGGTTTAGTGACCTTCATGATGCAATGATGGTTTAGCAATGATGGTTTAGTGACCTTCATGATGCAATGATGGTTTAGTGACCTTCATGATGCAATGATGGTTTAGTGACCTTCATGATGCAATGATGGTTTAGCAATGATGGTTTAGTGACCTTCATGATGCAATGATGGTTTAGCAATGATGGTTTAGTGACCTTCATGATGCAATGATGGTTTAGTGACCTTCATTATGCAATGATGGTTTAGTGACCTTCATGATGCAATGATGGTTTAGTGACCTTCATGATGCAATGATGGTTTAGCAATGATGGTTTAGTGACCTTCATGATGCAATGATGGTTTAGCAATGATGGTTTAGTGACCTTCATGATGCAATGATGGTTTAGTGACCTTCATTATGCAATGATGGTTTAGTGACCTTCATGATGCAATGATGGTTTAGTGACCTTCATGATGCAATGATGGTTTAGCAATGATGGTTTAGTGACCTTCATGATGCAATGATGGTTTAGTGACCTTCATGATGCAATGATGGTTTAGTGACCTACACTTTACAGTGCTTCAGTTTACAGTGCTTCAGTTTACAGTGCTTCAGTTTACAGTGCTTCAGTTTACAGTGCTTCAGTTTACAGTGCTTCAGTTTACAGTGCTTCAGTTTACAGTGCTTTGCTTTACAAGACTTCACTAATGCAGCAGTTTTCAATTACACACATTCTTCATTTTGTCAGACTTCCTTCAATAAATATATTCACCACTCACTGTAATCTAAGAATGAAAATATTTTAGGGTAAGTAATGTGTGTACTGTATAAGCATTTTTTTTAGGCCTAGCTCAATTACTTGCTAATATATGATAGTGTAAACATGTTATCAGGCTTTTATATGCATTTGAAAGTGTAAAATGGCTATACAGTGGGCCCTCGACTAACGATATTAATTGGTACCCGAGTATGAATATCGTTAGTCGAGTTTTTTTTAGCGTTAGTCGAGGCAAAATGTTAGCGTTAACATGTATCGTTAGTCGGATTTAACGTTAGATGATGCCATCGTTGGTCAATGGTCCACTGTATTTCACTTTACAGCAATTTTCGCTTTACAGCAGTAGCCCAGAACCTAACCTGCTGTATAAGTGGGGCCCTCCTGTATTTTGCTGTTTTGTTTTGGCTTTGTATTATTTGGAAGCTTCATTTATAACTATTGTAAACGTTTGGTAAGTGTCAGTTCACTTTCAGTTTCTGTGTTGAACAGGAGTACTCATGTATGTATCTGCTCACCATTTTCATTCTTTAACCCTTAAACTGTCCAAACATAGTTATATGTTTGCTTGCATAGTGCTCTGAACATAGATCAACGTTTTATTTTTCATTCCTTCAAAATTGCGCCAATAGGCCTGAGTGGCCAAGACATGAGATAGTGGGTCTTAACACTTGGTGTGCACAGTATTAAAAAAATCTGGGATCACTTAGTGCCATGTGGGAGCACCAGTTCAAATGAGCACCAGCTAGAGCAAATAGCTGGCAAACACCAGGGATTCACTGATGTCATGTTGCATTAACACTCCCCTTTTAAGAGGAAAGTAAAAATAGGTTAGATAAATACATGAGTGGATGTGGGTGGGAGTGAGTTGGACCTGACTAGCTAGTGCTACTGGGTGTAATGTCATGCTCCTTTCTTCAGTGGATATGACCTGGCTAGGTGGGTCATTGGTCTAAGCCGGGGTGACATGGACCTGCCTTGCATGGGCCAGTAGGCCTGCTGCAGTGTTCCTGCTTTCTTATGTTCTTATGTATTCGGCAGGCTGGCCAGCTGACTGGCTAGCTTTAGCTGCCTCTGGCTGTCTCTCTGTCTATATCTCTATCTATCTGTCTATATCTCTGTCTATCTGTAGGCTCCTGCCTACTTTCTGTACTCGACTGAAGAAGCCTACTGTGTAGGCGAAACGTTTCAGAATAAAGTTGCTTAAGTGTTGCCTATGTGTCTTAACAACCATCCTGTCGGTATTGTATACCATTTTGATATTCACATAGAAACTATGTATTGTGCCAAAACAAAAGCATTCACATTGCTAAACTCACAAACTAGTATTTAGTCACTTAGTATTTAGTCAACTTACTCCACAATTTGTAATAATTTAAGGTTAAGAATTAATCTAAGTTTGCCCGAAATGCCTAGCCATGCTAGGTGTCCTAGTGGCCCCCTCTGTAATTAGTATTTTATTACATGTAAACCACACAATAACCAAAATCTGTAAACCCCGCATTGTAATCCTTATAGAGAATAAACTTCGATTTGATTTGTTCAGGAATCAGGGAGCAGCTCATAAACCAACAGTTTTACAGCCGCTCCCTGAGACAGACAAGCAGATGGAAAGACAGACACACACACACAGGTAGACAGAAAGACAGATAAGCACAGCTAGACAGATATAAGCAGAGCTAGACAGACAGATAGATAAATAGACAGACAGATAGATAGATAGACAGACAGACAGATAGATAGACTGACAGGCAGATAGATAGACAGACAGACATGTTTGTGTGTAACAGTGAAAACAATTAAAGTGAGGGTTCCCTGGAGCAGTGCCATTTATCAAGTGTCACTGGGCTGTCAGCAGCTTACTGACACTTGTCATAACACCATTCTTCAAGGAGTTTCATATATACTCTGGGTGCACACAGGCAGACAGAAAGACAGATAAGCAGAGCTAGACAGATAGATAAACAGACAGACAGATAGACAGACAGATAGATAGACAGACAGACAGACAGACAGACATGTTTGTGTGTAACAGTGAAAACAAATAAAGGAGGGTTCCCTGAGCTCACAATCATCAAGTGTCACTGCCTGTCAGCAGTTTACTGACACTTGTCATAACACCATACTTCAAGGTATACTCCAGATTGTCTAAAACATTGCTGGGACCTATAAATGCTCTGTATATATGTCTAGACAATAGTAAATGACCCAGGCAGGTGAAAATGTTCACCTGTCTGTGTGATTGTGACTATTTGAGTAGTATTATTTCAGTACCTAATTTTAGTGTCAGAACAAAGATTGGCTATGAAATCACAAGAACTATTATAAATTGTAATTATCAGAACATATATATAAATTGAAATAAAAACGAGAAGAAAAGGTATATCGGCAGCACATCTGCAAGTGGCAGGAGTCGAGGTCGCCATCAGGTGAGCATCCTGTAACATGTAGAAAAATGCATTCTTCATTTAAAAAAACTTTTTTTTTTTCAAAATATTCAGAGCACTATGTGAGTGAATGTAGATCTACATTTGGACAGTTTAAGGGTTAAAGTTCACACAATTTGTTTAAAAATTTTTACAGTTATTGTGTATTTCTAAGCATAAAGCAATAATTATTTAATATTTTGGTGTTGATGATAAACAGAAGAGCCTGAGTGTGAAGAGCAGATGGGTCTGGAGGACGGAGAGTTGTCAGATCTTCAGATTGTCGTTTCCTCAGTTCTAAATGATCAAGATTACTTCTATGGAAAGCAGAATGTTCGCTTAAATACCAAGTCTACTCCATCCATATCTGCTGGGGCCTGGGTGGCCGAGCCCAAACCTGATCAGTTTATTAGGGTCAGTTACTATGATATTTATGCCTCTTGAGATCTTTTATTAAATGTTAAGTTACAACATATTTTCATACACAAGATTTTCATCATTATCATAATTACCATTAGTTTATTACTTACTGTCATGAGGTGGCAGGCACTTGACACTGAGTGCAAAGATGGGTAATCCTACCCATTTATCTTTCCTTTATTACAGAGAATACTTGACTGTTTGTGTTACTGAGTGGTGAGCAGTAGGGATGCCACATGGCTGTCCCCTGTTCATAGTAAATTAGTGTAAGGTGGTTCATTTAATGTTAATAGAAGAATTATAAAATAATGTCTTTGATTTAAGTATATTAAATGAATGGTATCAGCTATTTTTCTTATAATGATTAAACCTCATTGATGACTACTAGAATATCATATAATTAACACAGTAGACCATCAGATAACACATGATTTGCTTCCATATCAAGCAGCCCAACTGCTAGGCAGACCGGGTCAGAAACAAAGTGTGATAGATTCTTCCATTCAGGCGAATTGTGGAGTGTTTGCTGATGAATGTTTAACAAGAAAGTGACAAAACCTACTATACAGACTTCATAAACTCAAACGTGATAATAGTGATAGAATTAAAAAATGTTTCACTTGTGATGGGAAAATAATAGTGAAAAGGTCAGACACGGGTCAAGGGTACAAAATAACAAATGAACATGACCTATCAATGTTCCTCCAAATCGCTGGTCTGACCTTGTCTGGTTAATCCAATAATCTCATCAATATTAACCATGTATAGTGCAACATGTATAGTGTAAATTACCTCACTTTTTATTGCATTTTTATTGCTGAATATATAATGCCTTACTTCTGTTCCTTTTTTTTTTTTTTCTATCTCCTGTCTTGATAACAGTATTATCAATTAAAAAATTATATTGAAAAGGATTGTGCACTCATTTGTCTAGCAAAAAAGGGTATACATGTATATATTTTTTATAGTCAACTCCAAATGTCCTATTTTACTTACCCCCCCAAATTTTTTATTATAAAGTAATTATAGTTTTCTATATACTCTTGTTAATTAACCATAATAATTAGTTTTATTTATTTTCTAATTAAGCCACTTTAAACTTCCTTGTTCTAATATATTACTGGTTCTAGTATATATTTTTTTACTATATTTTTTTTTTCAACACACCAGCCATCTCCCACATCATTCAACAATTTCACCATCACTCATATATAATCACTGTCTTTGCAGAGGCACTCAGATATGACAGTTTAGAAGTCCCTCCAAACTGCCAATGTCCCTAATCCCTCCTCTAAAGTATAGGTAGTAGGTTGGTAGACAGCAGCTACTCAAGGAAGCACTACTGTCCTAACAGGTCAGTGTAAAACCGAAGCCTGTATTTCTTTTACATGATGGTAGGATTGCTGGTGTCTTTTTTCTGTCTCATAAACATGAATGAGAAGAATGAGAAGAAGCTGGATGTCCTAGCTTTAACTGAAACAAAGCTGAAGGGGGTGGGAGAGTTTCAGTGGAGAGGAATAAATGGGATTAGGTCAGGGGTTTCAAATAGAGTTAGAGCTAAAGAAGGAGTAGCAATAATGTTGAAGGATAAGTTATGGCAGGAAAAGAGAGACTATAAATGGATTAATTCAAGGATTATGTGGAGTAAAATAAAGGTTGGATGTGAAAAGTGGGTTATAGTAAGCGTATATGCACCAGAAGAAGAGAGAAGTGTAGAGGAGAGAGAGAGATTTTGGGAAATGTTGAGTGAATGCGTGGGGAGTTTTGAACCAAGTGTGAGAGTAATGGTGGTTGGGGATTTCAATGCTAAAGTGGGCAAAAATGTTGTGGAGGGAGTAGTAGGTAAAATTGGGGTGCCAGGGGTAAATGAAAATGGGGAGCCTTTAATTGAGCTATGTGTAGAAAGAGGTTTGGTAATAAGTAATACATATTTTATGAAAAAAAGAGGATAATTAAATACACAAGGTATGATATAGCACGTAATGAAAGTAGTTTGTTAGATTATGTATTGGTGGATAAAAGGTTGATGGGTAGGCTCCAGGATGTACACGTTTATAGAGGGGCAACTGATATATCGGATCAATATTTAGTTGTAGCCACAGTTAGAGTAATAGGTAGATGGGACAAGAGGAAGGTGGCAACAACAAGCAAGAGGGAGGTGAAAATGTATAAACTAAGGGAGGAGGAAGTTCGGGTGAGATATAAGCAACTATTGGCAAAAAGGTGGGCTGGTGCAAGTATGAGTAGTGGGGGGGTTGAAGAAGGTTGGAATAGTTTTAAAAATGCAGTATTATAATGTGGGGCAGAAGTTTGTGGTTATAGGAGGGTGGGGGCAGGAGGAAAGAGGAGTGATTGGTGGAATGATGAAGTAAAGGATGTGATAAAAGAGAAAGAGTTAGCTTATGAGAGGTTTTTACAAAGCAGAAGTGTTATAAGAAGAGTAGAGTATATGGAGAGTAAAAAAAGGTGAAGAGAGTGGTGAGAGAGTGCAAAAGGAGAGCAGATGATAGAGTGGGAGAGGCACTGTCAAGGAATTTTAATGAAAATAAGAAAAAATTTTGGAATGAGTTAAACAAGTTAAGAAAACCTAGAGAATGAATGGATTTGTCAGTTAAAAACAGAGTAGGGGAGTTAGTAGATGTGTAGATGGAGGTTTGGGTAGATGGCGAGAATATTTTGAGGAACTTTTAAATGTCGACGAAGAAAGGGAAGCGGTAATTTCATGCACTGGCCAGGGAAGTATACCATCTTTTAGGAGTGAAGAAGAACAGGATGTGAGTGTGGGGGGGTGTATGAGGCATTACGTAGAATGAAAGGGGGTAAAGCAGCTGGAACTGATGGGATCATGACAAATGTTAAAAGCAGGGGATTATATAGTGTTGGAGTGGTTGGTATTTTTATTTAATAAATGTATGAAAGAGGGGAAGGTACCGAGGGATTGGCAGAGAGCATGTATAGTCTCTTTATATAAAGGGAAGGGGGACAAAAGAGATTGTAAAAATTATAGAGGAATAATTTTACTGAGTATACCAGGAAAAGTGTACAGTAGGGTTATAATTGAAAGAATTAGAGGCAAGACAGAATGTAGGATTGTGGATGAGCAAGGAGGTTTCAGAGTGGGTAGGGGATGTGTAGATCAAGTGTTTACATTGAAGCATATATGTGAACAGTATTTAGATAAAGGTAGGGAAGTTTTTATTGCATTTATGGATTTAGAAAAGGCATATGATAGAGTGGATAGGGGAGCAATGTGGCAGATGTTACATAGGTGGTAAGTTAATAAATGCTGTAAAGAGTTTTTATGAGGATAGTGAGGCTCAGGTTAGGGTGTGTAGAAGAGAGGGAGATTACTTCCCAGTAAAAGTAGGTCTTAGACAGGGATGTGTAATGTCACCATGGTTGTTTAATATATTTATAGATGGGTTTGTAAAAGAAGTACATGCTAGGGTGCTTGGGAGAGGGGTGGGATTAAATTATGGGGAATCAAATGCAAAATGGGAATTGACACAGATGCTTTTTGCTGATGATACTGTGCTTTTGGGAAATTCTAAAGAAAAATTGCAAAGGTTAGTGGATGAGTTTGGGAGTGTGTGTAAAGGTAGAAAGTTGAAAGTGAACATAGAAAAGAGTAAGGTGATGAGGGTATCAAATGATTTAGATAAGAAAAATTGGATATCAAATTGGGGAGGAGGAGTATGGAAGAAGTGAATGTTTTCAGATACTTGGGAGTTGACGTGTCGGCGGATGGATTTATGAAGGATGAGGTTGATCATAGAATTGATGAAGGAAAAAAGGTGAGCGATGCATTGAGGTATATGTGGAGACAAAAAACGTTATCTATGGAGGCAAAGAAGGAAATGTATGAAAGTATAGTAGTACCAGCACTCTTATATGGGTGTGAAGCTTGGGTTGTGAATGCAGCAGCGAGGAGGCGGTTGGAGGCAGTGGAGATGTCCTGTCTAAGGGCACTGTGTGGTGTAAATATTATGCAGAAAATTCGGAGTGTGGAAATTAGGAGAAGGTGTTGAATTAATAAAAGTATTAGTCAGAGGGCTGAAGAGGGGTTGTTAAGGTGGTTTGGTCATTTAGAGAGAATGGATCAAAGTAGAATGACATAGTGTATAAATCTGTAGGGGAAGGAAGGCAGGGTAGAGGTCGCCCTCAAAAAGGTTTGGAAGGAAGGGGTAAGGGAGGTTTTGTGGGTGAGGGGCTTGGACTTCCAGCAGGCGTGCATGAGCGTGTTCGATATGAGTAAATGGAGACGAATGGTATTTGTGACCTGACGATCTGTTGGATTGTGAGCAGGGTAATATTTAATGAAGGGATTCATTGAAATCGGTTATTTTTATATAGCCGGACTTGAGTTCTGGAAATGGGAAGTACAATGCCTGCACTCTAAAGGAGGGGTTTGGGATATTGGCAGTTTGGAGGGATATGTTGTGTATCTTTATACATATATGCTTCTAAACTGTTGTGTTCTGAGCACCTCTGCAAAAACAGTGATAATGTGTGAGTGAGGTGAAAGTGTTGAATGATGATGAAAGTATTTTCTTTTTGGGGATTTTCTTTCTTTTTGGGTCACCCTGTTTCGATGGGAGACGGCCGACTTGTTAAAAAAACAAAAATGCACGATTTCAGGTACATCTTGCTACTTCTACTTACACTTAGGTCACACTACACATACATGTACATGTTTATGTATACACACTCATCTGAGTTTTCTTTGATTTTTTTCTTAATAGTTCTTGTTGTTGCTTTTCCTTTCATATCCATGGGGAAGTGGAATAAGAATCTTTCCTCTGCAAGCCAAGCATGTTGTAAAAGTCAACTAAAATGCTGGTAGCAAGGGGCTAGTAACCCCTTTTCCCATATAACTTACTAAAAAGAAAAATGTGATGAATGGTTTTGAAAACCGACAAGTTGAAGAATTGAGACACTTATGCAACACATGGGAATCTTTATTGAAGAAACGTTTCGCCACACAGTGGCTTCATCAGTCCAATACAAAGTAGAAATGGGTAAGGAGAGTAGAAGTATGAGGTAATCAGTCCCTCAACCTGGATACGATGTGTTCAGTCCATCACTCTTGTAGTAAGTGCAGCATAGGGCCAGAGAGGTGGCTTATATACTGCGGTGAGATGAGTTGAAGCAGGAGGAGGCGGGATCTTAGTGGGACCTGCCACTAAAGTAAGTAGGTCATCGTCCAAAGGTTTGGGCAAGCGTTGAAGTCTTTGTACCAAGATTCCATGATGTTGCAGTGTCTGACAGATGTGATGAATGGTTTTGAAAACCGACAAGTATTTGTATTGGACTGATGAAGCCACTGTGTGGCGAAACGTTTCTTCAATAAAGATTCCCATGTGTTGCATAAGTGTGTAAAAAGAAAAAGAAGAAAACTATATTGTTTATCAGTTTATATTATTCAGCAATACCAGGTGCTAACGCAGGTGCTAATCAGTGTGCTCAGTCAGTTGCTAAAGTGTTATCATTTTAAGTTTAACTTACTATACTCAGTAACTCATTCTTTTTTGTTTTAATTAATAGTCTCAATCCATATATTCATCCTTGATAGTAGTTGTTAGCAACTGCTTTACAATTTATTTTTTTAAAGCTTGTCCCTTAGTTACTTTTATTTGATTCTTAGCTACATTCTCCATTACTCTTATGAATGCAAATATTGATCCTGATATTAGCCTCTTGTTAAACAGCACAAATAATCCTAACAATAACTGCCATTACTACACTGCCAGTCAGGCTGAGGCTGTACTCAGTGCCAACAAGAACATAACGGTAATCAAGTACAATATCAGGTCATTGAGTAAACACTATGATGACCTCCTTGCGCTTCTAAATTCTCTAAATGTTAACATATCTTTTATCATTCTCACTGAAACATGACTTAACAAACATCTTTGCCTTACCTGGTTACACAGCCATACACAACTGCAAGCCTGATCAGTCAGGAGGAGGTACTGCTATATACTACTCTAAGGAACTATAATGACTTGCCAGTTGATGGGTTCATGAGTGATGAAGTAAACCATAGAATTGATGAAGGAAAAAAGGTGAATGGTGCATTGAGTTATCTGTGGAGACAAAGAACAATATCCATGGAGGCAAAGAAGGGAATGTACGAGAGTATAGTGGTACCAACACTCTTATATGGGTGTGAAGCATGGGTTGTAAATGCTGCAGTGAGGAGGCAGCTAAAGGCAGTGATGTCATGTCTAAGGGCAATGTGTGATGTAAGTATTATGCAGAGAATTCCAAGTGTGGAAATTAAGAGGAGGTGCAAAGTTATTAAAAGTATTAGAGTGCTCAAGAGGGGCTGTTGAGGTGGTTTGGTCATTTAGAGAGAATAGAACAAAGTAGAATGACTTGGAGAGCTTATAAATCTGTTAGGGAAGGAAGACATGTCCGTTGGAGGGAGGGGGTATAGGAGGTTTTGTGGGCAACGGACTTGGACTTCCAGCAAGCATGTGTGAGTGTGTTAGATAGGATTGAATGGAGACAAATGGTTTTTGGGACCTGATGAGCTGTTGGAGTGTGAGCAGGGTAATATTTTGTGAAGGAATTCACGGAAACTGGTTAGCTGGACTTGAGACCTGGAAATGGGAAGTACAGTGTCTTCACTCTAAAGGAGCGGTTTAGGATATTGGCAGTTTGGAGGGACATCTAAACTGTCATTTCTGAGTGCCTCTGCAAAGACAGTGGTTATGTATGAGTGATGGTGAAAGTGTTGAATGATGATGAAAGTTTTTTCTTTCTTTTTGGGTTTTTCTTTCTTTTTGGGTCACCCTGCCTTGGTGGGAAACAGCTAATGTGTTAAAAAAATTCAGTGTACCCCCTTTTTTTCATTACACTCTGTTTTCAATATCATAACTACTGTGTTATCTGACAGTCAACTTTTTTTTTTATTAACACTGGCCGATTCCCACCTAGGCAGGGTGGCCTGAAAAAGAAAAACTTTCACCATCATTCACTCCATCACTGTCTTGCCAGAAGGGTGCTTTACACTACAGTTTTTAAACTGCAACATTAACACCCCTCCTTCAGAGTGCAGGCACTGAACTTCCCATCTCCAGGGCTCAAGTCTGGCCTGCCGGTTTCCCTGAACCCCTTCATAAGTGTTACTTTGCTGACACTCCAACAGCACATCAAGTATTAAAAACCATTTGTCTCCATTCACTCCTATCAAACACACTCACGCATGCCCGCTGGAAGTCCAAGCCCCTCGCACACAAAACCTCCTTTACCCCCCTCCCTCCAACCTTTCCTAGGCCGACCCCTACCCCGCCTTCTATCCACTACAGACTGATACACTCTTGAAGTCATTCTGTTTCGCTCCATTCTCTCTACATGTCCGAACCACCTCAACAACCCTTCCTCAGCCCTCTGGACAACAGTTTTGGCACTCCTGCACCTCCTCCTAACTTCCAAACTATGAATTCTCTGTATTATATTCACACCACACATTGCCCTCAGACATGACATCTCCACTGCCTCCAGCCTTCTCCTCGCTGCAACTTTCATCACCCATGCTTCGCACCCATATAAGAACATTGGTAAAACTATACTCCCATACATTCCCCTCTTTGCCTCCAAGGACAAAGTTCTTTGTCTCCACAGACTCTTAAGTGCACCGCTCACCCTTTTCCCCTCATCAGTTCTATGATTCACCTCATCTTTCATAGACCCATCCGCTGACATGTCCACTCCCAAATATCTGAATACATTCACCTCCTCCATACTCTCTCCCTCCAATCTGATATTCAGTCTTTCATCACCTAATCTTTTTGTTATCTTCATAACCTTACTCTTTCCTGTATTCACTTTTAATTTTCTTCTTTTACATACCCTACCAAATTCATCCACCAACCTCTGCAACTTCTCTTCAGAATCTCCCAAGAGCACAGTGTCATCAGCAAAGAGCAACTGCGACATCTCCCACTTTATGTGTGATTCTTTATCTTTTAACTCCACGCCTCTTGCCAAGACCCTCGCATTTACTTCTCTTACAACCCCATCTATAAATATATTAAACAACCACGGTGACATCACACATCCTTGTCTAAGGCCTACTTTTACTGGGAAATAATCTCCCTCTTTCCTACATACTCTAACTTGAGCCTCACTATCCTCATAAAAACTCTTCACTGTTTCAGTAACCTACCTCCTATACCATACACCTGCAACATCTGCCACATTGCCCTCCTATCCACCCTGTCATATGCCTTTTCCAGTTCCATAAATGCCACAAAACCCTCTTTAGCCTTATCTAAATACTGTTCACTTATATGTTTCACTGTAAACACCTGGTCCACACACCCCCTACCTTTCCTAAAGCCTCCTTGTTCATCTGC